GCATTTTATTACTATTCTGATAATAATAATATTCATGATTTGAACCATGTACACAAAATAAAAACTGGGGTCAAAAAAGAATATTGAAAATTGAACAGCGGGGCCAAATTTGTTACTACTCTTGCACATCGCACACATGCTTTATTTTTAAAAAGGAACGAGATTAAACTCTCGAGCTATGTATCGACAAATGGACACTACCCCAGGCGCACATGTTTGAATTAGGATATGAAATATAATTAGGATCGGTGACTATGCGTATGTATAGTTTCATGTTCCCCAAATACATATTTTTTGGACATAACCTTTCGGTAGCATATGTCTATGTACTTTTTTTTTCTGAGTTAGTATTCTAATTCCGTCATTCGGATGTCACTCACAATCTTGTTTTCATCTTGTAACTTTCATACAAACCAATTGGGCCCGGAGCTATCGTTTTCGCCCTCTGGAAGATCTGTTAATATATATGGATGGTAATACTAGTTAGAGAAAATATTTAAGGGACCATCAACGTAAAGATTGTGAATCATTGGACTTTTGGGTAACGTTAGTTACTTACAAGTATACACTTGTTTTAATGTGCGAGGAACACAAATAATACAAATTCTATTTGTTGTGTTATTTCCTGGGAAAATAATAAATAAATATACTGTTGATGTCGCCACTAATAATGATTCGATCAGGACATCTAGATTCTTGCAAGTGCAAAAAATAATAATTCTTAATCAGACGGCTATCTAGAATTAAGAAAATAGTTATTTCTTAGTCAAGTGGCTCAATTCTCAAGTGACCATAGGCAAGCGCATCATCCATGTGGAAATTTATAATACACTGACCAAGTTATGATATAGCTAAGCAAACACCCACCCCTTTGTTCTTAGTTGGGAAATAAAAGATACTCTACTCTCATATTTAGAAAACAAAATAATGAGCTATATTTCTCATTTATAATTTTACACATGCATGGAGAATTATGGAAACACGTCTAGCCAGCTGCTAGAACGTGCTTGTGAATTATAATACGGGTTAGATATGTGTGTCAACGATGAGTTCTTTAGGGATACATTTGGCGTGCATACAATGTTCACAAGTGTTAATTCCAATAAACTATACATATATGTTTAAGTACATGGCTAACCTGCAGGGATCAGAATCAGATACTCTACGAGCTCCGTCCGTCGCTTTGTTTGTCTTTTGCAAAGTGATGATGCCACACAAGTACATTGACTGTACTCTGTACACGTGTATCTTGCCGATCGAGCATCTCTAAGTATATGGAATATGGTGCTCTTTCATTTGCACGTTCTTGTTGAGGTGAGAATCTGTTCAAACGTGAGCAGTGCTGCGTTCGATGCGCTACACTTGAGACTTCTCAAAGATAGGAAAGTGTGTCGAATAAACGATGTGTGTGACTGCTGACTTGCTCCGCGTCTTGTTCCATAGATCAGCTCCTCGCCAGTTCACTATATTCTTTTTACCAACCTGAGTCCAAAACAATAATAGTTTAAACAATTCCTCCTTCTTACATGTGAGTTAGGAGTATATATAGAAGCTTGACGCCCTTTTTTCTAGAGAATATAAACAGCTTTACACAGTACATACTACTGTTATCTGGATGGATTGGCGACGACATCGGTTTTAGATATGTGGAGTGAGAGCACTTCACATTATCGATTTTGTAGGTGTGAGTGATGACTTCGGGTGGATTGATGTATATTCTTGTCAGACATTTGTGAAATAATTAATAAAGATGGTTGTGTGTATCAATTGATGCAGAGCCCGGGGCTTTAACCTCCTTAAAAAAACAGTATGTACTGCTGTATCAAAATTGAAGTTTTAATCATTTTCATGATTTTACCACAAAAAAACATTTTCATGCTTGCGGGACAAATAACATTCTTATTGACAAAATTGATTCAAGAGCCAACACGTCACCCTTATGGTTAAGCATAATTACAAGCAAATCATTTCTACTGAGTGCTAGCTGAAGGACCACAGTGTTTAAATCTGCTAGCTTGTTTCAAACGAATTTTGTGTTTTAATTGAGCGTGTTTCATCCTAAAATGTCAACCCAAATTTTTCTGCACGAAATTCGTACTTCGCAGGCAAGCAACTGAAGTGTCCGAAGCACAATGATTTTTGATGATAAACGTGCGCTCTCCGTGGATGTCACTACTGTCGTAGACTTGTGCTAGCACTATTCTGATCCAATCGCTGAGGTGTCATTTTTTGTTTATTATTTCCATATCTTGGAGAGAAAGCGCATCGATTCGGTCAGCAAGCTCACCTCCTCAAGATTCCCTCTCTCTGTCTCGTGTAAAATAGTGTATCACATACGTACGAACGGTTTTTGCATGCTATCTCCAAATGATTAACAAATGATCTTCAGAAGTCTCCAGTAAAATAAAATAAAATAAAATAAAATAGTGTGGCATACGTACGAACGGTTTTTTGTATGCTATCTCCAAATGATTTACTCTCTGATTAACAAATAAAAATGATCTTCGGAAGTCTCCCGTCCAAATGATATAGTTTATGCTCCATTATTAGCAGAGTTGCTAATCTGCAAAAGGCTCCCGATTTCGTCGCATGCCCTTGCTTTGTTTTAACACTGCATCTCCGGCCATCTTTTTTCGTTGTTCTTCTGAGTTGGGCTAATCGAGCAATAAATATATTCAGCACCATGCATGCGTGGCATCCATATCCATTTTAATTAGGACATCATCACAAACTGCCGTTAGCATGCAGGAAATGAACTCATGCGCACCAATCTAATTAGATCAGGGCAAACTATATATGAATGAAGCTTATTTTTCTGTTACTATGTCAATTGCCATGTGTGGATAACTGTTGTTGTGAAGCAATTAGTTCATGATGTGGGTCGCGGTCCTAGCTGCGTGGAGTGACATCAGAGAAAACGAAAGGGAACGCACACAAGAACGGCGATTAGATCGATCGTTAGCTAAACCTTGCTAGCTTTTTGAACTAGCAGCTTAATTAGGTGCAATGCAACAAGGAGTACCTATCATCGACTCGTTATGCATACGTACGATTGCCGGACCCGCTTTATAGATTAGATGCTCACCAAATAGAAAAATCCATGGGACACTCCATCATCGACGTCGAGGTCCAAGTAATCGCACATGCTACACATTGCGACTTGGATATTGGATCCATGTTTGAGCTTCATGTGTTAGGAAAGCTAGACGGTTCATGTGTTGCGTTGCAGAGCCAGAGCGTTTAGGGCCAAGTTGCATGTATCGACCACACTGGTCTTTCCTCTTCACATCCATTTGCAAATTGAATGTTGGTGCTTGGAGCGAGTGAATTTTGTGTGTTTCTCGGTTCTAGCGCAA